ATGACACATAGTACTCGAAACCTCCTCTAGCCTAGATCGACATAGGACCACACAGATCAGAAAGAATCAGTCTTAGCACTTCTTGGCTCCTATACCCCTTTGCCGTAAACGGCCTCTTGGCCATCTTACCTTCTAGGCAGGATTCGCAAGTTGGATAGTGCTCTTCCAATGGACCGAGAAGTCCAATTGCCACTAACTTTTGAATCCTCCTACGGTTGATGTGCCCAAGTCTAAGGTGCCACAGATATGCTTGATTCATCTGCAAAGACTCCTTCCTCTTATTAGATGTATTTATGACATTATTCAATTCATTTTGTTGCACTGTGGGAGAGTTTGGTTTGAGAACATATAAATTGCCAACTAATGAACCACAAAATATGAAATGATTTCCAAAACGAATAATAACCATGTCATCAAACGAAACTGAAAAACCATCCATAACGAGTTTAGAAACTGAAACAAGATTCATTCTAAAGCTAGGAACATAAAGGCAATTTCTCAAAACCAAACTACTACTATCAAAATATAAAGTAACGTCTCCCACTACAACAACCGCCACTTTCATAGCATTGCCTATGTAGACGATGATCTCTCCCTCCCTAAGCCACTTGGTTTCCTGGAACCCCTGCAACGAATTGCAAACATGATCAGTGGCTCCAGTATCTACACACCAGGTTCTGGTAGATACAACCGCTAAACATGTTTCTACGACATTAATGAGAGAGTTACCTTTCTTGAGGAGAGAGCAGTCGACCTTCTAGTGTCCTGACTTATTGCACTTGTGGCATTTTCCTTTCGGTTTCTTTGCCACACCTTGAGGGGCCGGTCGTGGATAAACTGGAGCATCCTGTGACTTCGCCTTTCCTGCAAACTTCTTTCTCTTACTGCCCTTGTGAGGCCTGGAAGGTCCAGCCTGCTCGGCGACTAGCACCTGAAGTGCCTGAGTGAATAAGGCTTCCGCTGACTGAAGCTCTACAAGCAGTTCTGGAAGAGCAATATGCATCTTGTGCATGTTGTAGTTCAACCGGAACTGATCAAAGCTCTTCGACAGAGATTAAATCATAATATCAACCTGAGTTTCCCTATCAATATAACCTCCCATAACGTCAAGCTCATTGAGCTGCACCATAACCCTGAGGGTGTGCTCCCTCACGGGTGTGCCCTCGGCTATGCGCGTACTCATCAGAGCACTCAAAGCCTCTTGCCTAGCAGCCCTAGACTGATGTCCAAACAAATCCCTGAGATTGAGAAGTATATCTGCTGCAGTGTCCATAGACTGATGCTGATGTTGAAGAACATTCGACATAGAAGCCAGAATGTAACACTTCGCTATCTCATTAGCCTTCTTCCACCGAGCATACTCCTCTAACTCCTACTCAGGAGCATCAGCCGCCAGCACTGCCGGGCATGCCTCATTGATGGCAAACTTATAACCCTCAGCAGTCAACACTATGTCTAAGTTCCTCTTCCAATCAATGTAATTAGGACCAGTAAGTTGATTTTCTTTTAGAATGACAGACAACGGATTGAACGACATGTGAATATTCTGATAATCATCCAAATAAATTTTACAGATTAAACACTTTTGAATTTAACTGTTAATATTGATATCCTCAAAACAACATTTACTTAAATCCACCGACATCTATTACACGTCGTGAGAATGCATGCTACGAGGGTCGCCCTACAAACTCGCATTTTGTAAGAGAAGGGCTTTTCAAAGGCCCATTAATTTCCATAAGTCAAAATCAAATTCATGACAAACAAAATTAATAGTCGGTCTCCATTTGGCCATGCAATAGAATTCAGGGATCCCGAGGGGGGTTAATAAATTTAATCGCATTCTAAGTGAATCCCATTTTTGGGTCCTAAGGTCGTCAAATTTGATTATACATCATCCGAGGGGAAGCCCGTCCGCTCTCATAAGATTTCCTCTAACCGTCTACTTTCAGAAATTTGTCCTGGTAATTTCCTACAATTAGCAATGTCACCCAAGGGAGAGCCCATAACCGCAATTAATTGATATACCGACAAATTAAAAATGGAGGCCTTAGGAATTTTACAATTAACTTTAATTTAAAATCCCTTCTCAAACTTAGTATTCTTTTAATGAGGATTTGTAACTATTCATGCAATTCCAAATTAATCTATGTTAATGCAATAATTAATTAACATGCATATTAATTCATGCAATTCTAAATTAATCTATGTCAATGCAATAATTAATTAACATGTACAATAATTTATGAAATTCTAAATTAATGCATGTCAGTGCAATAATTAATTACATGCATAATTTATTGACACAATTCTAAATTAATTTTATGCATTACATAATTAATTAACATGCATAATTAATCTTGCAATACTAAATTAATCCCATGCAAGAACATAATTAATTAACATGCATAAATATTAATTAATGGCATAATGAATTTAAATAAATAAATAAATCCACTATTATGACCATTAAATATTGAGTCTCCTTAAACAAGGAAACTGTGACAGTTTTTTCTCTGTTCAACTGGAACTCCTTTAAGCAGTAGAATCCTGGTTGATCTTGTACTGCTTGGACATCAAGTAAACCTCTCCACCTCAGCCACGACCAGCCGCCGCCGGTGGTCGAAAATCGCCGATTTTTTTTTAATTCTTCGAGGCTCGTTGATCTCTTGTGCTCCCGGTCATCAACACACGATCACAGCACAAAAAATATAATTTACAAACTTACATAATTCGATTCTAGATCCAACGAATGGATGTACATGTTTTCTAAACAAATAATTAAATCTATCCGGTCAACCCCCGGGCGAATAATTATTACAAACATTCGTCCATCAATTCCTCGACATGCCCAAGGTTTTAAAAACAAATTTAAAACTATACATCACATTCAACAACATTCACCAAACACATAATCGGCTATAATAGTGGATTAACTATTTTTCTGCAAAACCGAGTTATGCAAATATAATCCGATATATGGCTGCGTTTAAACACATCTTGTCAAATAAAGCCGTAAAAAATCGAACTTTGTACAAAATGAATTAACCAAACGCTATGATACCACTTACTGGGATCTGTGAAGATCTCTTTATGTACAAGTCATGAATTTAATAGCAAACGTAAACCTATGCGCAACGGATCTAAAGGTTTGACATAGAAAACTTACGGCTTAAAGTTTATGTAGATCTGGTTGACCACAAACGATTGACCGCAAATCACGTCTTGGGTTGCACGAACAAGATCAGATCAAAACCAGATCAAACGGGTGCAAACGGATCAAAACAGAACTTGCAGCCAGCCAGTTTGCGACGGCGCGTGCGACGCTGGAATCCGGCGATCTCGGCGGCGATGGAAATTTCTCGTCGAGACGGTCGTCTGGTTATGCTGTGTACCTTGATCAGATCTCCGGTTAGTTCTATAGGATAAAATATATTTCGTCTAGGTTTACCTACAGATCTTCTACCGTATTACTCAATACACCATTCTTCAACTTGTATCAGTGGAGCAACAAGAAGAAGATAAAACTCGAATGAGATATAGAGAGAGAAAGAGAGGCGTGGCGTGTTGTGTATTATGACAGATGTCTTCTCTTCTCATGAGCTTAATGATATATATATAGAGCTATAGTAGGGACCCTTACATAATTAGGAAAAGGGCTCCTTAATTAATTAGACTAACTGTGGGCCAAGCCCACTCCTCTAATTAATTAAATAATATTAATGGGCCGCCAACATTATATTATTCCACTCCCTTTTTCCTAGCCCAAATTATATTTGAGACTCCAATAATAATTACTCGATTTACCTCCCCAAGTTTAAGATATAATGTCCATTAATTAATTCGATTACTGACAATCAAGAATTAATTAATTTATTATTATTTCACCGAAGCTAGCGCTCGTTCATCACATTCTTATTATGCCAGAACTTAATCCACCTGCAGGGTTTAGCATAACAATCCTTCATGAACTCACTCCGGGGACATAATCAAACTAACGTACATGGTGACCGTAAATATCCTAACAGCACATCCTATATATAATAATATTACCCAAAACAGTAGGAATATTGATCCAGTGAACTAAACCTCACCCAAGTGAATCAAAGTAATATATACTATATATATATCTATCTGTTTAATATCTTACGGGTTAAGAGAATGCAGTAATTAACCGAGGCCTAGTTCATTTACGACGATCAGTATAAAATGAACTTCTCCTCTTTGGGATCCTGTTCAATACATAAATGTACTAGTGCAACTAATCAGTCAAGACAAACTGTACAGTTGACACTACAACCGTTCGGATGGGGTGTTCATGTCCATCTAGGTTGTGAACAACTATTCTTGTTCGCAAGCAACTGATAGAGTGATCTTCGGTTCGCCCGATGACGACCCACTCCATCTAAGTTCAGAACAACAGAACGTAGAACTTGTTTAATGTAACACGATTCTCATTCATAAAGAGCAAATATGTAATAACATGCAAAACCAAGCTTTCAGTATATAACACTAACACTGTCCTCTCATGTTTATCATGACTCATGTAAACCATAGTGTACCACATCCACTCCTTATCCCAAGTACATTTTACCTCCACTTGAATACAGAAATCATTCCCCATCACCTGCTTAATCTCATTGTCAACATCCCACATAAGTAACAACCCCCTTTTAGACCCTACTAGCTTCACAAAGAACCATCTGTTATCAAATTCTAATTTCCTACACACTATCTTGGTAAATTCCTCAGATTTCTTAGTTTCTGATAAAAAAATTAGGCTTAGGTGGTGGATTCTTCTACAATCCTTGATTTGGGAAACTGTAGAGGGCCCACCCAGTCCTCTACAATTCCAACCATAGCCTTCATTGATCACCTTGGGGCCTTTTGAGGCTGGCCTTCTCCACCTTCACATTTGTTGATTTGGTTCTTTTCTCAATATGCTTCTCTGCAGTATGGATTTGTTTCTCATTTTGTATACTTATCTCTTCACCTCTTACTCTTTTGTCCCCTGAGATTGGAGTCTCAGCTTCTGGAGAGTCAGGGTTCCTCAGTAATCTCCCAACTCTTTTGGCAGACCTTCTCCAAGTCTTTTGCATTAACCTCTCCTGGTTACCTGGTATTTCACAACTGACCTCCTTATCTAATTTCCCATCAGTGATTGTGAGTATCTCTGTGATTTCCATTGTCTCACCAACTATGGCTCCTTCCACTAATCTTTCCTCCCCAGTATCATGTGTTATTATCACCTCCATATTCTGCATTTTCCCTTCTTCTTCTTGAGATTCTACATTTTGACTCCCAGTAGACACATTCTCACCTCCCCTACGGTCTCCACTTGCAGTATAAATTGGTTGTCCTGCAGCGTTACCGTCTGCATTGGAATCCAGGTTAGAAATTCTCAGTGGACCATCCTCCTTCTGTTCAGAGCCACTTGTGAAAGGTTGTCTTCCTCCATACATCTTCTCTCCAGCCTTCAACCACTCTTCATACTGGCCTTCTTAAAGCTTTTGTTCTTCTTTGTCCTTTCAACTTCCGACTACAGTTTCTACCGAGATGGCCAATACGCCCACAGTAGTAACATAGGTTCACTAACCTTTCTTATCTGACACTGGGATTTGCTGATTTTCAAGCTTGACAAAAGTAACCTTGGGTAGAGGCTCTCTGACATTGATCGAAGCCAGCAGCTTGGTAAAACTTCCTGCTTCCCCTCATACTTTACGAACAGATACATTCTTGACCCCATCAAACACTTTCCCAATCTTTAGCCCTACCTCATTGCTCATCCAATTGAATGGGACATTATGGACATGAACCCGTAAATTAACTTTATCAAAACAGCAGTGGCTACTGGTCATCCCCGGAAACCATTCATGTAACACTAAATATTGGTTCTCAAATAGGAAATTAGTCCCTGCGGCCACTTTCCTTTAATCTGTTTTTGAATTGAGCATGAAATTGAAAAAGTTTGATTCTAATTCCCGAACCTCTAATCACTACTGAATCCTCTAAATCGAGCTCATCGTACGTCGAATCCCTAGCTGCGTTGCTTTCCTGTCCCCTATCACCTTCCCAAATAAGCTCCATCCACATTTTTCCTCGCTGACTACAATGTCTTCCCGTTGAATTTCGATTCCCCCTAGTTTTTCTCCGAAAGTGAGAATTTTTTAAGTTTGCGAGTAACCTCCTCAGCCGCATCCTCTGCACTCTACATCTTCCAGCAATAGAACAAGAAACTATAGATGGACACACGCTAAATTACACCAGATCTTCTTCACAAAAGGAATTTTTATCTCACCAAGAGAATCGCCCTGCTCTCAATCTAGATAATTTCTCGTTCTAAAACTGTTACATTTATTAATTCATTGACAATGCAATATGAAATCTAATTTATGCAAAAATGTATGAATAAGCATTTTAAAATATTAAACATACCTATGTTATAATCCCTCATAATCTTTTTATTTGTCATTCTGGCTTTATTGATCATTAATCACATAAATGATATTTTGAATTTTTTTTACATATCTTTTTATTGTTACCCTCATTTAATTATTACACTTACACGTTTTGAGAGGAAAGTTGTGAAAGACGGTAAGTTTTCTATCTTAAAAGAACATTAAAAATAGTTAAAAAGAAAGATTAATATTGTTAATTTACTTTAAAAAATGCTAATATTGGCAAAAAAAAAATTCTCAATTTATGTGCTATAGCACATAACGACATTTAAAAAGAATAGGAGGGAGTATAAGATAACATATATAGAATTTCAACTCTTATCCCCCCTCCCCCCTATATATTAATTCAGAACATGCTGAGCCTAAGTGGCAGGCTCGCATGCTTCGGAATTCTATGTGGAAAAATTACATGCTTCGTTATTAGGCTTGGGTAGATTTTAATTTATTTCCAATACAAAAATAATTAGGTTCGGACTATCCATAAATACGTTGGTTATTTATGGTCATGTTATATATATTAATTACATCTTAATATCATTTATTATTATAACCATTGAATTGTAAATATATTTTAAAAGTTAATAATTTTTGTATTTTTTATCAGTTTTACATGTATAATATATCAAATTAATCATCTCTTGACGAGCCCGCTTATGCAGCGCCAGCAAGCGTGCCGCCTCTTGGGTGACCGTAAACTAACCCCGAACCTCCGATTCATTTCGTTGATCGACCAGTTTTTGCTAAGTTATATATTTTATCCCGAACCTTGAACCGAGAGCCCCAAGTTCCACTAAAATTGTATAAATCCTTAATCGATGATTTCTAATTAAGGAGTGTAGTCGATGAGTCCTTATGCTTTACTTGAGAGTTTATCGAGTCGGCAAATTGGGAATGTTGTATTGCTTTGGGTCAAGCCTTATGTTTGTGCATAAGGGTTGCGTTCGACTCGTGGAGTCGATATCATGAGAGTGTGAGCTTGCTGGTGTCATGCTTTATGTATGTGGTACCGTGTTATGGTCTCGGATGGAGACGCACGGTCTGTGATGAAATCGTGAGCAAGTTATCCGTGTGACTCGGACACGAGACTGAAACTTGGCGTCACGTGTCCACCTTGATGGTGAGGAAGTCGGAGTACGCTGACAATACACCGCACGACCTGTTGAGGTTTTGTGTGCTGTTAGGTACGAAGCAACTCGTGGATACTCATGAGTATAGGCTAAAACGAACTGGGTCCCTTGCAAGAAGATGTACGCCTGAGTTCGTGCAGGACTGATCACCCTCCCAAGCAAGAAGGCAAACATATGAGCATAAGACGAGTCGGATTGGTTCCTGTATGTGAGTACATGCCTTTCGAGTAAAAGGCGATAGGACTCACGGGAACGGAATCGAGTTCCGGAGAATGATGTCGGACCTCATGATTGAAAATTCCCGTTCGAGTCTGTTGTTTCCTTTTAGATGCGTGTTCTTTCGCATTTCCAAGGACGGAAATATTTTAAGGAGGATAGATTGTAATGGCCCCGTTTGATTATAGAATATTGGGAATTATTTATTATTATTATTATTATTATTATTTATCTTTATTTGTTGTTATTATTATTGAATACTAAATATTATTAAAAGGCTAAAATGAATTATCTGTCAAGGATTAAATGTCTAATTGTCTAAATGATATTTATTTTGTCAAATTGTAATTAAATGCTTAAATGTCTAAATGATATTATTATTTAATATTATGTGTGTATATGTATTATTAATAATATAATTATTTTATAATGGTGTGTATTATGAATATAAATAATTTCCATTTTATTTCTATCGTCGAACTGAATTAATTTTACGTTTAATCGAGCCCGAGAAAACCGAAACCGAACTGTTAGGCAAACCGGCTGACCCGCGAGCCCGACAACCCGACCCAGTCCACCCATTAAGCTGTGGGAGAGTTTCTTGTGGATCAAGACCAATAACCCTAGCTAATAAGATTTGGCTCGTTTGTTGTTTTCTCAAGAGAACCCGCAGCCTTCTCCTTTCACTCGATCCCGCAACAAAGCAGAGAAAATGCGTCGATCCCTCTTCTCTCGTTAAATCTGATTGTCATCTCCCTTATTCTCACATCATCGCCATCATCAAATCCCTCTCTTGTCGCCATCACCATCTCCGATCACCCTCCTCCACATCTTCCTCGCGAGAACTCGTCAACCTCACCTCAGTCCCGTCATCCTCCGCCTCTCGTCGGAATCTGATTCACCCTGTCATGCATCTCAGGCCACCGTGACCCCCATTGCCGCCCTCCGCGAAGCCTCTCCGATGAACCTTTACCCTCGCAGCATCGTCAGCGAGAACAAGACCCGCAGGCCCACTTCCGGCAACCACAGAGTTTCTCCGCCGCGACCAGAACTTTCGGCGACCCAACTCCGCGACCAACAGAGGCTGCTGCTTCTCCTCGATCGCCCCTCCGCCGATACCTGCGACTCTGGCGAGTTTTCTATCCCTCTGCGAGCAGCCGTCGCAATCAGTTTCCAGTGAATCTCGTCCGCGCAGGCCATCCTCCGCAACAGCAACTCCGCCAGCGACCCTCACGTTAGTGCACAGGCCTCAGAACGGTAGCAATCAGCCGAGACTGAGGTGTCCTCAATCCGAGCAGCAACCACCGGCCCTTTTCTGGTGAATCGAGCACCCCCGAGAGTGGGCTTTTCGAGGCCGAACGATCCACAACTGAGACCTTCAGCAGCTGTGGGCCCGCCATCACTCGATCGCAAGCACCGGGAGCGACCACGTGCGCTGAGGCTGCCATGAGCAGCCATCCTCGGGCCACTATCCTCGCCCTCGAGAGTCGCGTGTCCGTTTGAATCGTCCGTTCTGTTTTTCGATCGATTCCCGACAACGGTACAAGGCTCGACCCGTCTCGATTGATTTATGTATCGTTTAATCTTATGTATTATTTATGTGTGCGATAATGTGAGGTGTGGAACGTGCTTCGTGAATTTATAAATGCCTATGATGTTTATTTTATCTGTTTAATTGCCTTGTTTTTATTGATTATGTGTTGACGATCTCTTCGATTTTGAGAAATCAAACTAGACCTCGTCAACTCGTGAATTGGTCCTTGTGGATTGGAACGTTATGTCGTCCCTAGTCTTATGGCGAAGACTTCGGACGAATTCGTCGTAAAACGAGTCGGTTATGAATTAATAAACTTGTGTTATCGCTGTTTTAGTATATAAATTATGATAAATTGTATGCTGCTAGTATTGCCGTAAAATTTTGAGCAGAATTAAAATGTTGTGTAAAAATTTCGGATTAACATGTGTAACACCCCGCTCATCAAAGTAAATTTTTCGCAACTTTTACTTCGAAAATACTTATAACTCTTTTGAAATCTTTTGCGACTAACTCGGGATGCTACTCAAACTCATCTTTTCTAAAAATCTGTTTATCTTTAAACTTAGTCTAATACTTCTTTAGACATAAAAAAAAAAAACAGATTTATTTAAACTTGCATTTAACTATATCATATTCATACTTCTGAAATTATAAAAACTTGAAATCTGAAATTTATTAAAATACAAGTTCAAGTCTTAATAGGCGTAGCGGAAATACTTAAAAACGTGAATAATTATACAGACATATCAAGTTCATAATAAATGTCCACTAAAAGAAGTGCACGACCACCACCACCACATATCGATCACCTCTGGCCCAACCTTGTCACCTGAAAAACACAATGGGGGTGAGTACTGATCCTCTTGTACTCCGAAATTCACCCATACTAAAGTAAACAGCAATAATAATACAATATCATGACCTTTGGTATATATCTGGACTGGAAATCTGTTCCAGTAACTTAAACTGAATCTGGCCGATATCTAATCGGATACTTGTGCAAAATCTGATGGATATTTCTAAGGCAACTAATGGCCTCCATCACAACTTAGGATGTACTGATAAGGCAACTAGGAGCCTTCATCCCAAGCGTATAAACTTAAACTGTATACATACCTCGAACATGATATCAATATTATACTCAATATAATACCCAGTCTGGGTCCCCACCTTTCTTCTTTTGAAACTTTGAAAAGCGTAAGTGTTGTTCTTTGGTAGCTAACTCCTCAAGCTACATAACAATATAAACAAATATACAAAGTATTATGCTCGTATACTCAATAATATGCTGGGATTCTTAACTCTACCAAATAACTTATCTGAATCTTAAAAA